AGAACCGGAAGAATACACTGTTGCAAAGGGAAACAACATCACCAACAAAAATCATCCAAGATGTCCTTGGTTACAAAAAACCATTTCAGAGTAAATACATGCAAGAAGGACTTGAAATGGAGGACAGGATCATAGCTGCTTACAAATTATTAAAGCAGGGGGAAGGGGTTACTGATATATCCGTAGAAAAATGTGGCTTTTTCATTTCCAAGCATCATGGGTTACTCGGAGCAAGTCCAGACGGATTAGTGTGTGACCCTTCTGCAGAAGACAGTAAGGGTCTTCTTGAAGTGAAATATATTCAGATGGAAAAGCAAGAAAGTCTGGAGGAGGCTCTGCTCCGAAAAGGAATTTGCAAGAAGTTTGAGGAATCTGTGATTTTGAACTCAAGACACAAATATTATTTTCAAGTACAACAGGCAATGTTTGTGGCAGAGCAAAAATGGACTGACTTTGTGGTTATGGGAACAGCCTCTTCCACACCTTTTTGTGAGAGAGTTTATTTCTCACAAGAACACTGGGATAGAATATTCCCAAAACTTGAATCATTTTTTAACTGCTGGATTGTACCAGAACTTTCATATCCTTGTGTGAAATATGGGCTCCCCAAAATTGATGCGCGCATGTTTTGAGAGCTTTTTGTTTTAAGAGTTTTATTCTTTTTCATCTACTAGAAAACTTATAACTGAAGTTGTATTTCTTAACATGTCCAATGTTGAATAATATCATTATACTATACGCTGCATGTTTTGGCAAACCTAGATTTAAATGTGTAGTCAAAGCATTTGCAATGCTAAACCTAAAATGCAAATGACCCAACCTACTATCATTGTGTGATGTAGCTGCTCCCCAAAGTAAGCTGAATTTGAATCACTCATTTGACTCCAATTTCAATACCAATATTATTGTTTGGTCCAAACAAAATTTATTTCATTACACCATTTAATGAAAGTTATTGCAATATGAATGTTTTCGTGTTTCATCATCAACATGTGTCATGACAGTTAACAATATTACATGATAATTTTTAATTTATAAGAGGGGGTTGAAAATTTGACAAAGCACAGACCACTACAAGCATGTCTGATGCAATAGGTGCAATAGTAATTGGTATCTTATGGTCGAAGATGTGCCAGTTCTTTATACGTTCCATGAGCCGCTCCACATGAACTCTTAGGCTAGCAACCACCTTGTTGTGATTTGTTTCATTTGTGGAAAACTGTATCTTCTGTTCTAAAAATTTTGGTATAACAAGGCTTGCACCAACAGAAGCTAATTCATCCTGACAATTGAACCCTTTGTCAGCCAGTACCTGGTCACCAGGATTTAGTCTGTCTAGAAAACCACTAAGAACAGTTATTTCCTTATCTGAGGTTGAACCAGGAAATAAGTCACTCACAAAACATAAAACACCGCTTGGCGTTATGCCCAACAGTGATTTCATGGTGGTTCTTGACTTGTATGATGAAAAACAGGTAGACTGTGAATCAAGAGCAGATGGCCTCTCCATTTCAAATTCCGTGCAATCGACAATGACTGTTACGTTAGGCAACAGTTTCTTAAAACTGTCAGGCCTATAACATTGAAGTACTTCTCTTGGGGGGATGATGATAAGAGGTTCAAATTCCCTCCTCAAAAATGGAATCCAGGCATTTACAATCTTAGAGACAGTTGATCTTGAAACCAAAAATCGATGAGCAAGATCATTCTCAAACAAACCCAGCCTCAAGCGCAGCATAACAAGGGTAAACTCCTGGAATTTAGTAAGTACTCTGGGTCTCCCAACATTACCGTTCGTGGTGGTCCTTTTGTGCCCATAATTAATATTGCTAGAGGCTTGTTCTACAGTTTTGTAACAAAGAATAAAAGCATTGTAATCGGGAAAGCCGGTGTAGAATGCAATATCATCATCTTTATCTTTAAATTTGCTTATGTCAAATCTATTGTTATCTAAAGCATGCTTCAAGCTTTCGATTTCCTTTTGTAATTTGCTGTTCACCTCTTTTATGTTGTTGTTTTCTTTCTCCAACTGCTGAATCTCTCCCTTAAGCTTAACAATTTCTTGTTCTCTTGTTTGCATTCTGTTGTATAAACTGTTTAGTTGGTCTCCAGTAAGTAACGTTTGCATTTCCACACTGGTACTGGTGTCAGCATTAACATTCATATTTTCTGTCTGTTCTTCAAATTTAAAGTTCGCTTCCTGTGGTAATTGAGCAAGTGCTGTTTTTCTTTTTTTGGTTTGCTCTATTTTCTGTACATCTTCGAAACTGGCCCTCTTGCGTTCTCTACGTTGAGCTGTCGGTTTTGTCCATGGAAAAATTGAAGGCAAGTGCGTTCTGCTAAGTTTTTCTCCTCCATCGAAATGAACTGAGCAAATCCGCGTACTCGTAGAATCTAATTTCAGAGTCTCGTTCCTCATAAGAACCACGTACTTTCTACGTATATGAGGGTCTTTTGGAATTCTATAATACTGAAGGTTAGGTGCATTTCTGTAACTATTAGTGCAGCCTGGAATACAGCAGTTATAGTGTGCCATGTTTGTCACACGTCAGCTGTGCGTTTGTTTACCTTCACGCTGTCCCTCCAAACGATCCCAAGAGCCTTTATGGTGGCAAATCGTACCCAGACCGCCGCTCGTTTTGAAAATGGCTAATTGACACTGCCCGCAAGTAGCACAGGCTAGTCGCGGCGGGCAGTGACAAAAATTTGTTAAGAGTCTGAAGTAGATTATAAATGAAAAGATCATTACAGCTTGTTGGAATGCTTTGACGCAGAAAAGAAATTGTACCATCATTGCATGAGACAGTGCGACAGTGAATTAGCGAGCTATTCGTCCATTTTCGCTCAGCCCATTTATACAAAAGAAATGATTAGAAAATTTCAAATATCTCGCCTGAAAGTCAGTACTCCTTAAACTGTCGTTTAGAAAGTGATAGTCGACAAGCATCAGAAGCAAATATATAAAATTGTAAAAACGGTCGAGCTGTCAATAGAAGTTTTTCGTCGCGTGAACTTTCATCGCATTCACCTTGATCTAAATTTAGAGATAGCTCTTTATTAAAGAAACTTGAACGATTTATCACTTCAATTTATTTACAAGTAATAAGTTTCGATAAACCAAAGAAATGTCCTTGAGATATCGAGAGACTGAAATTCTAAAAGGAACGCAATCATCTCGAAAGACAACCGAATTCATTTTTATGATATCATTATTTGTATTCTAAACTGACCTAATGAACTTGACAAAACTCTAGGACTTTCATAGAAGCTGCCCACTAATTTTTTTCTCTGATCTAGATCCTAGATCTTGGATGCTAAATTGTTCGTCTTGACACTAAAAAATCCTGTTTAGAGGCGTTAATTCTTCCAAAAATTTGCATCTTTCCACGGTTTGACAGGTGGAGAGCTGAAAAATCACCCATCAATTATTTATAATAGTTTATAATTCAAACCAGCACCATGTCAAAATTTTGGTGACTTCTGCAAAGTGGCTGAAAAGCTGCACTCAAATCATCGCATAACTTTTGAGATACAGAGGGGGACGTGTTAAGGACATATTAAGATTTACAAAATGGAACAAATCTCTTTCAAGGAAGAGTCTGTTGCAATTCTTCTTAAGTCTCAGGAGAAGAGAAAAAAATTAAAAAAATAGTTTGAATTTATTTCACGATAAATCTCGATACTCATTTCAAAAGAAGAAAAAACAGAAAAACTTAAAGACCCTCTTGGGTGAACACCAGGATGTGATTTTTGTGAAGTAAACCATATCGTTTACATTTGCAGCTACCGTGACCAAGACAACACACTGTATAGAGGTACATCTACATTCTGAAATCGAAAAACATTATAGAAATGAACACTATCTGAGAACAGCGAACCTGTGCGAGAATTTCGTACTTCTAAAGAAGTACCCTAGAAAGCTAATACAAAAAGAAGATACCAGAATTTTTCTAATAGATCAAATCTCAGGATCGTAGTCATGACTTAGTGATGGCTTCTATTTTTTTCATTTTTTTAGTACATGTGAACCTATTCATAGAAGACCATGTAATCTCGGGAGGGCCATGAATTTGCAAGTGTATGGTTGTAAAGTGTTTATTCTCGTTCGATAAAAATTAATATTTATTCATCTATTTGTCTATTCATACCACCCACTCAGACATCACAAGGGCGAAATTTATAATTTATTTGAACATCAAGCTTACTTTCAAACTTTGTCTTACTAATGTCAACATTTTCTGTACCTTACATTGCTGTACAATTAGCAAATAATATTATAATATTGTTAATAATTATGCCAATCCCTTTAAATTTTGACAATGATGAGAGGATGTAATCCAAACGTCATGTTATGCTTTTTCTTTGTCGATTTTCATCAGTATGCTGTTTTATTACGTCGATTACAGTTTCTGTTACCAATTCATCTTCCGCCATCCCTTTCCTAGTAAATACCCGCGCTACTAACAAAGTTCGGCATCCTTATCAAATAGAATATTCCCTTTAAGCCAAAGGTATAAAGTTCTCTCCTTGCGCGTTAATCCTTTTAAGAAAGATGTTATTCCTCGTTGCGCTCTTTAGACCAGTGTCGCCAACTGGATTTCAGAGCGGCCCTCGCTTTCAGAGGTCATTGGCTGCTTAAACACACGATAGGGGTTCCTGGAGTCATCGCACAGGACTTCTGTGGGGCTATATGTTTCATGGAGCCTAACTGTGTCAGCTATAACATATTAGAATCCTGCGATTCCCCGCCAATCACCAGATGCGTACTGAATGACGCGACTCACTTTGAACACCCGAACGAACTGGTTCAACCAAATCTGCAGCCCATATTTCATCAATATGACGAACAATTATACGCCGCCGAGTAAGGTTACGTTTGATGGGTTTATGTAATTCATCAGCTAATTTTACTTGCCAGCTTATTTCACTCGACGGCTTTTTCCGTTTTTTGACTTATTTTGTGATGAAATTTTGTGGGCCGAGGCCAGGAACGTGTTCGATAATTGAGTCAGTTTGCTAGACATAACGTCTCGTAGTCACGTTCGACGCACTAAAAACTACTATAAAACGAATACAAGAATTGTAAAAACGTGTAAAATGGTATATAAAAAGTCACTTGTAAATATGTAGCGGAATTCCAAATCCAAATTCGATTTGGAATTCCGCTACATATTTACAAGTGACTTTTTATATACCATTTTACACGTTTTTACAATTCTTGTATTCGTTTTATAGTAGTTTTTAGTGCGTCGAACGTGACTACGAGACGTTATGTCTAGCAAACTGACTCAATTGACTTATTTTGTTTTACACTAAGACTTAATATCTGTTTAGTATTAATCAAGAATCGAGCTGTTTGTTCCCATTTCGGCATCTCTACATAAGGTATTTGATCTAATGATTTAACCATTTGACGATCGTAATCACCTTTGTCTTTACCCATATCATGACATATATCATGATTAGCAGCAATTTCATCGACTTTATTATAAGGTTTGACATTCCATTGTATGACTTCCCCAGTGTTTTTATCATATACTAATTGTTGATCAAGTGGATTATAGGGTCCCATATATTTATATTGAGGAGTCCATCCACCTTTTGCTTTTGGTAACTTTCCAATCATTTAGTGAATGTCAACAGCACCGCCTTTATAAAATGGATTAGTTGGATCATAAACACCAGAAGGAACATAGATTTCCATTGGATACCATTGTGAATAATCAATGTTACTACGACCGCTTATCTTTTTACTGAAATCATTTGTGAAGCTGTCAAGAGCTTGATCGAGGTATTTATTTGCTGTTTGTTTTATTTTCTTTTTTGCGTAATCTGATTTGATAGCTTTTGCAGCACCTTGTCGAGCAAGTTAAGCTCCACTGTTGGCTAATCCTTTGAGAACCATTTCGCCAATTGAATGACTGTTTCCAACATCAAATAATGCTCCACCTGATTTGTTTTTGACGAATTTTGTTTTAATTATACCGCATTTAGCACAATTACACTTTAACATCATTCTACCATTTTAGCTGGTTCATATCTTTCACTCTCTGGAACATATTCTGTAACTTTTCTTTGTTTAACACGATCAGATTTCATAGATAAATATGTCATATTATCGATGTAACTTATTGATTTTTAACGAATTTAGTTTAGTTGTACCACACTCAACACGAGTGCACTTTAACATCATTCTTAAATTTTGAATTTGATTATCTTGATGAAGAAGAGTAAGAATCTTATTTTTTGCATGATTGACTAGTTCTTGAAATGGTGGCATTCTAAATGAATCAAAAGAATGGATGACATGATCTTTATCAAAAGTTGTTACCCAATGTGATCAAGACATGTAAGATGGATGAAGATTATAAATGAAAAGAGCTTGTTTATGATTCTGTGGTACTTTTTGGTCTCTACTTCAAACATTATTTATTGGAGTTTTTAGATATTTACACCATTCAAGAAGATCGAAACTTTTCATAGGAAGTTTCTTATGAAATTCTGGTTTTACATAATTGCTCCGACTATTGGAATTGAATCGAACAGACTGTTTGATCCTAGAAACAATCCTTGGCCCTTTTTTGTTCTCTTTTTGGTTCTTTTCTTTTACCTCTGCCAACTTGACTATTTAGCCAACTTCCAATAAATGGAAGAGGCATTCCCAATCGAGGTGCTCCATTGCCATGAAAAAGTGGTCCTCCAATTCGTGGCGCACCTTTACCACCTTTTAGTAGTGATCCATCCATTCGTGGTGCACCTTTACAAGTGATTAAATTCTTAACCAAATCAATAGCGATTGGAATACCAACTGAAGCAAGAATAGTACCAACTCCTTATCCCATTTGAGTCCTTCTTGGTTTGATATGAACACCTTGTCCACTTTGTAAAGCACCTAAAATATCTCTTTTCTGTTTTTCAGTTAATAAATGTTTGTATTGAATGAGTTGATTTATTTTATTCTGTGGTATTAGAAAACCACCTGTTTGAACATCTCTTCCAGAAATTGCTTTAACCAATTGAGAAGCTTGTTCACTTGCCAATCCACCAAGAGTAGACAAACCTGATGTCTTTCCGATAGTTGGTAAAAGAGGTCTTGCCATACTAACATTGCTTGTAAGAACACTACCTCCAATTTGGTTTCTGATATTTGATTTAGATAGTTCTATATTCATTCCGTTATTCATTTGTTTACTTTTTTGATATCTTTTTGCAACTGTTCTTGGAACCATTAGTTTTTCATTTCCCTTCAATGCGCTTTATGATAATCTTAATGTTATTTTCTCCCTTTTTTTGATAAGCTTTAGCTAATTTTTTTTTTTGATTTGGTGTTAGTGCAACGTTGATTTCAAATAACTGTGTCATGTATTAAATATGTTATACAATTTATATTGTAAGGAATATATAATTTCAAACATCATTAAAATGAATGTCTTTTAATTACATTATTTAGAAAATCAATAATTCATTTCCTATTTTGTTTATGATCACTTCTTTATCATATAGAACAACAGCATTAACTCTGTAAGCACTTTACGCAGGTTCTTGAGCATTCAGTTTATATCTTAAAAAAAGCTTTTTAGGGTTGCTTGTGACTTTTTCACTTTGGTTAGCAAGATCGAAATAACTGACTCCGAAAAGAGTATTAGAA